AACCAACGAGTTTTGAGTTGTTCCGGAAGACTCATAAGAAATGTGATGGTTCATTCGTCGATATATGCTCACAACGGACACATGTTCGTATATTTTAATTTCGAATATTAAATATGAAAATTTATTCTCAAATTTATTTTAATACTATAACAATGATATTATTATTTTGATAATGCGGGACCGTGTGGAACAACTAATCAATGAAGAAGTTGAGACTCAAAGAGAGGCAGGAATCTTAGAGCCGAAGTAGACCGAATGCCATATACCCGTAGGTTTTCGGAGAGAAGAGGAAAAGATTTTATGAGATCGGCACACAATCGGTGCATTATGTGTCTCGGTCTATTTGTAGTGATGGCTATCCCATCATAATTTTACTTTTAGTTTCAATCACTCGGAACAACTCGAATCAATCTATAAAAAAAATTCTTTGCAAACTTATTATACAAAGTCATTGAAAAATATTTTTTTTTTCATTTGACTTTACACCATAAGCATTATAAAGAGAGGACAAGTACAATAACCCAAATTTTACGTTATATTTATTTTTATTTAATTTTTGAGTTTAATAAAAAATTATTTATTATTATTATTAAAATTTAATTTCAAAAAAAAAGGAAAAAAAGAGAAAAAAATAAAAAAGGGGAAGTACATAAACTAAAATTGGAAGCCAATATGGATCTAATTGCATTAAATTGAGTTGGAATTGAAAGTTAATAAGGGTTAAATTGAAAATAAATCAAGATAAAATTAAGGACCTAATTTAAAAAAAAAATTGACGATTGTTCTTTAATGAGGATTTTTTTTTAATCATCTTTAGCGAGTTTGTCCAATAATAGACCGTCACTTAAGATAGGGTCACCTAAAAATAGACCATCATCTTTCGCAACGTCATCCAATAATAGACCATCATCTTAGGTAGGGTCACCTAAAAATAAATCATCATTTTTAGGCATGGTCACCAAAAAAATATACGATCATTTTTTACAAGGTCGTCCAATAATAAAACATTATCTAAGCAGTGGTCGCCTAAAAATAAACCATTATCTCGGACAGTGGTCACCAAAAAGTAGATCATAATCTTGGACAAGGTCATTCAATAATAGAGTATCATTTCTAGTAGGGTCATTCAATAATAGACCATTATCTAAAGTAGAATCGACTAAAAATAAATCATAATCTTTGGTAGGGTCATCCAATAATAAACGATCATCTAAGGTTAGGTCTTCTAAAAATAGATCATTATTTTTTACAAAGTCGTCCAATAATAGACCATCATCTCCAATAAGGTCGTCCAATAATAGAGCATGATCTCTAATAAGGTCATCCAATAATAGACCACTCGTGGATTTACTTTTTAGGATAGGCTACCTTTCAATTTGACTATGTACTCTATATTTAATTTTCAACATAAGTCACCCCGCAATTTGACCATGTATCGCATATTTAATTTTTAGGACGAGGCCACCCTTCAATTTGATCATGTATTGCATATTTAATTTTCAAGGCGAGGTCAACCTTCAATTTAACCATGTACTACATCTCGCATATTTAATTTTTCAAGGCAAGCCGCCTTAAACAACATGGTCATGTACTCGTATCTTTACTTTTTCAAGATAGGTTGTCATAATCAACTTGATCATGTAATGCATATTTTCTTTTTCAAGGCGACCCACTTTAATCAACTTGACCTTGTATTGTATATTTATTTTTTCAAGGCCACCTTAATTAACTTAGCCGCGTATTACATATTCAATTTTTTAAGACAAGCCGCTTTCATCAACTTAGCCACATACCGCATATTTAATTTTAGGGTAGGTCGCCTTTCAATATAGCCATGTATCGTGTATTTAAAATTTTAGGGTAGGCCATCCTTCATAACAAAGCCATCCCATCGTAATTCTACTTTCAGCTTCAATCATCCGAAACAACTCGGATCAATCTCCGAAAAAAAAAACTTATTTACAAACTTATTATACAAAGTCAATGAAAAATATTTTCTTCATTTGACTTTGTGCCATAAGCATGGCAAAGAGGGGCAACTATCATAACCTAAATTTTGGGTTATATTTTATTTTTACTTAATTATTTAGTTTAATAAAAAATATATATTTTATATTATTATTAAAATTTAATTTCAAAAAAAAGGGAAAAAAAGAAAACAAATAAAAAAAGAGGAAATACATAAACTAAAATTGAAAGCCAATAAGGACCTAATTGCATTAAATTGAGTCAAAATTAGAAGCTAATAAGGGTTAAAATGAAACAAATCTAGATAAAATTAGGAGCCTAATTACAAGAAAATTGAGGATGCAATTATAATTTAGAAAGTGGGGGATTATTCTTTAATTTATTGAATGAAATATTGCATCGAACAATTCACTATTTCGTTTGAATTTTTGCAAAAATTCAAAAAAACAAAAATGGTTTTCGATTTCGGGTTTATTGCATCTCCGATTTGATTCCCTGCCTACATATGATCCTTTTGATTAAAACACAATCCACATCACAATAATTGAAGAAATTTGGTAATGAAAAGAGAGGGAAATAGAGGAGGGAAATTTGGAAAATTGAAAAGGAAATTAGTTAGTTTTAGGCTATAAATAAGGCACTTGAAAGTTCATCAATGGGAGGATAGAGAATTATGGGTTGAGAGAGAGTAAGAATCAAGAAAATAGTAGAATTCGAAGGATTTTTTTTTTAATTTTTGGTGGCTGCTTTTCGGGAAATTTCAGGCGGGATTTGTTGTTCTTAATTTTATGGGTTTTCATTCTTCATTAATGGGGTAGTTCAATTCGTTTTTCTTTGCTTTCCTAGGTTTCGTGTTGAATTTCCAATTTTTCTTCAACCCAATTCGTTAATTTCTTGTGTTTATTTTTTTTTTTTTTGGGTTTTCCTTTAAAATTTTTTGGTCGGTAGTTTATCCGTTCTTTAGAGTTCATCAATTTTCTAGGTTGTTTTTCTTTACTTTATGGGTTTGCATTCTTTTTTCTCGTTTGTTTGTTTTTATTCTCCCTTACTAGGTGTTGCCCATTGTTTCGGATATCAAGAACACACAAGAAGGATCCTTAATCATCAACCAACCTCTAATTTCGTCACCATCCTCACCAATTCCAATCCATTCTACTATTGGATTGTATCCGGATTCCTACAACAATAGCCACAAAACAAGTCTCAACATAATTACTTGCATTTGGTGTGAGTTTTGCTTATCGTTGTCATGTGCACCCAAATTAAACTCCTAAGCTCCTATAACATAAATATAGTAAGGAAGAGTAGGGATCGATCCCACGAGGAATTCAATCGTGTTAGTCGTCACGAGTCTAGAAAAACATGAAATAAATAAAAAGGGGGTTTTGATTTGATTGAGATATAATTGAAACTAAACAAATTAAATTCAGAAAATGAGTTTAGAGTAAATATTCAAGTAAACAAATCTTGGTTCGGGTAACATCCACTTTTGGAACTTGAGATTTATCCTTGGTGCACGAAATATCGATTTCCATTCAAATATTTGTTGTGATATTGAAATCAATCTTTTCTTATGATTAGCCAACTAGAAACATGTATTCTAATCAACCCTCATTATTTAACAACCCTAGATATGATCTAAGATTTAATCAAATAATGGCTTTATGTATTAAAAAGATCAAAAAAGCAAGATAACACAACACATGTAGTTGCATTTAATCTAGTTGAACAAACCCCCTAAAAGTCATTAGTTTCGACACGACAAACCATACACTCCTAGTTGCTACACAAATCAAAGGGATTGAACAATTACGGATTCAATATTCGATCTAGTTATAGATTATTTAAGCTAATAAACTAACCGTACACATTAGAAATTAACCCAAATAAACATGAAAATAAGCATAAAAGAAAGTTCAATACTTGAAATAAATAAACTAATTTACATTAATGTTTAAGCACCTCAAAATCTTTGATTTCCAAAATTTTCAGTTACCTTCACCAAAGAGAAGAGTCTAGTCTGCTCATGGCAACCACTATAGCTAGAGAGAAAGAGAGAAAATAATGTCGCCTCCTATGAGAATAATACCTAAAAAGTTCCCCGCCCTAGTCTCGCTAGGTTTCTATTTATACAAGGTGTCTATTTCCCAAAAAGGGTAGATAATATTCTCTCCTCCGGTGTGTGCTTGCGTCTTTTTCGACAAATCACGCAAGTTTTGTTTCTTTCTGCAGATCGTTGTCCGTTTCTGCAGATTTCGGCGTGCCCGCTTCAAGTTGCAACGTGCTCGCGCCTTCAAGTCCTTGTGCTTCTATGTCCGCTATATTAGCGTGGCCATGCTAATAAACTTAACGTGCCCACACTTCTTGTGTTTTCCGATAGTTGAATTGGCTTTGATCGCAAATTCTCTTTATATAACTCTTTTAACATCATTTTTCAATCGGTTCCACACCTAGCACATAGAATACAAAAGGCACTTAAGTTTTATCATTTAGACATCTCAAAATAGTAAAATGTAGGGGAAATTAGCAATTCAAACATATGTTTTAAGCATTATCAACATTTAAGCCTTCTATCATCATCACCGAGTTGTTCATTATCTTGTCCATAAATTGATCGCACTAGTCATTTCCAATTCTTAACCCGTAAGATTTTCATAGTAATCAACCAAAGTGAATTGAAGCAATAGTTGGGTGAAATGGAAAAGCATAGGAGTTTACAATTTTTTTTAATCAAAATTTATGTTCAATGATAGTTAGTATTTCAATTGACAAGTGAACAAAATAAAAGAGAGGAAGGACAAGAGAGAGAAGTAATAAGAACATGAGTAAGAGAGAGAGAGAGAGAGAGAGAGAGAGAGAGAGAGAGAGAGAGGGTTGTTTGATCAAAAAATGAAATCAAAGAAAATATGGTTTGTTTATGGACTTGAAGTCCGACCCATGGTGTTTTTTTTTTTTTTTGAAAAAAAAAAAGGAAAAGAGAGGGACATGGTTTGGGCTAAGCCACAACATGCAATTTTAGTTTAGTTTTTGTTTTAGGCGTAACCCGGTTTCAATCCAAACTTATACCACCTAAAAAATAAAAAAAAAAAATAGGTAGAAGAGAGTAAGGCATAAGCCAATAGGTCCAGAGCCCAATAAGATTTTTTAAAAAAATGTTTTGATTTCTTTTTTTTTACTTAATTTTGAATATTTTGGTTTCCCTTTGTATTTTTATTTTCCACATTAATTTAGATTTAATTTTTTTAGATGTTTTGGAATTTATTTAATTAACTTTAAATTTTAGGATTTTATTTTAGTAATTAGGTTAGATAATTACTTGATAAAAGAATTGTTGAGTCTCTTAATTTTTAAGGATCGGTGATATTTTTTATCAATAAATAACATAATAAATAAAAATATAAAAATTTTTAATGAAGTCTCATATCCGATAGGGACTGTCGTTAACAAAAATAAGAAAACAAAAAAAAAACATAATAATAAATTTTTTAACAAAATCTTCTATCTAATATGGAATGTTGTTAGTTAAAAAACATACCATTAATTTATAATAATCAAGATGTTCACCGACACACTCGGTTGTGTCGAGGCTTTAAGTGGATCCGATGTTTAAAGCAACGTGTCTCTCAACAAAGGGGTCTAGCGATTATTTCAATACAATGCCACACCCAAAAATAAAAAACTTAATTTGGCCTTGAAAATTGAAGTTTAAATCAAAAATAACTTAGCACAAATAAAATAGTTTAGAAGATGAATTTAGGACTAAACTAAATGTGGTACCTTTCTTAGGATAGGGCATTTTTGGTGATTGATATCTTCCTAAAATGTAACCAACTCCTTATCTTAGAATTTCTGCATCGGTGTTATTTTTAGGCTCTTAATTCTTTTAATATTAGATGATAACTCTAAACTAAATAATAACTCACATCTCCAATATAACTCATGAATACGATACAAATTTCTAATACCTAGATTTTTTTTCGAGAGTCCTATGCAACTTTGGATAGTGACAAAGGAGATGACAAAAATGAAGATTCTAGAGACTAGAGTAGAGAAGGGGGAGAGAGAGGGGGAAAGGAGAGGGGAGAGGGGATTGGATTTAATCTTAAGAGAATGGAGAGAAGAATGAAAAATGTGGTAGGGAACTTAAGCCGGGCTCAAGAGAAAAAGAGCTCGGCTTAGCTAAGCCTAGCTTGTATGGCTAAGGGCTAGGCCGATCTCGAGTCCAATCCAAGCCCAAAAAAAAAAAAAAGGAGAGAAAGAGAGGAGGTTGAGGGCTGCAATCCTAGTAGGCGAGAGGGCCCACCGACCCCAAAAAAGGTCGAATACTTTAATTTCATTTTCTTTTCAAATAAATTGACCCCGAATGTCTTTTATTTATGTATTTTTTATTTTTTTGCTTAATTTATATTTAATTTTTTGTATTTTCTTGAATTTATTTAGTTAATGTTTAATTTTACAATTTATTTCAATAATTAAGTTTGGTAATTAATAGGTGGATGGATTTTTTGAGTTTTCTAATTTTTAGGGACTCATGATGATTTCCCACCAAAAAAAAAAATGAATGAATAAAAAAAACATAAATATATACAAAGAAAAATATAAAAAAGAAGAAGAAGAGAAAAGGCAAGAAAAAAATATAAAATATAAAATGCTAAGAAAAATTAAAAAATTCTCCTACTAATAGGGACTATTGTTAGTAAAAAAAAAAAAAAAAAAATCACTCGTTTTAAATAGAACGTTCTCCGAAAAATCAATTATGTCAAGACTTAAAGTGGATCCGATATTGAACTCGACGTGTTTCTCAACGAAAAGGTCCGATTATTGGTTCAGAATAATGCCACAAACAAAAATAAAAAGTTTAATTCGGCCTAGAAAATAAAAACTTGAAGTTTGAATTGAAAATATTTTGGCACAAGTAAAGCACTTTAGGAGATAAATTTTAAGACTAAGCTAAGCATGATATATTTCTTAGGAAATAGCACTTTTGAGTGATCGACATCGTCCTAAAAACATAATCAACTCCTTATTTTAGAATTTCGAACCAAGTGCTATTTTTAGGTTCCTAGTTCTTAAAATCAATTTGAAGGAAAAAAAACTATCCATAAGCAAAATAGTAATTAAGCGAGTTTTATTTTTTCCAATCTAATAGATAAATTAAACTTAAGTTTCTATTGCTGATGTTGTTGCTCTTGTTGTGCTATTCTAAGCTTTTCTATCCACCTACCCGATGATATTTCTATCCCTCTTTCTTATTATTGACAAAATTTTATGATAAAAATCACCGAAAAAGAGCAAAAATAAAGTTTTTATCATTTTGCATATTGGACAAATAATAGGATGATGAAGGGGGAAATTGTTCATTTACTTGCTTCCTTACACAATATTAAATATTTTGGAGTTTTTGAATCATCCATGTACAAAACCTGATGATGAAGGGGGAAATTGTTCATTTACTTGCTTCCTTACACAATATTAAATATTTGGGAGTTTTTGAATCATCCATGTACAAAAAAATTCGAACTTTACTTTGTGGAAGGATTCATTTATAATAAACATTAATTGTCAAGACAAACATTTCCATAGTGTTTTAAACATTTGTACATGCAAGTAACTAGAAAATGCAGTTAGAATATATATATATATATATATGGAAACAATGATTCCGTCTTCCCACACAAGGACACAAGCTTCTCATTCAAGCCCTCACTCTCTAATGCGTAAGTTCCTTCCATAACCTGTAGAACCACAAAAATAAATAAAAATTAATTATAGTCTAAATCTTAGGAAAGATACATAAACAAATGGGCATGTATAATAAAACATAAGCAAATTTTATAATACCTGAAGATGTAAAGTATAGAAGACGCTGCCTCTAGAGGAGTCAAAAGAAGAAGAATTTATTAGAACAAATCCGTCCTCCTCTAAATTAAGCAAGTTTTCTGATAATGGACTTTTATGGAGTTTGTAACTGTGGAAATTTGAATCACAACTTCTCTATCACTAAGCCGGCTTGTCGATACCGATAATAAAGAGCTATAGATGGTGTCTTTTCTTTGATTTTCTTGGTGAATTAAATCACCTTGCTTAGATAAATTTGATAAAAGCTCCTCTTTTCTTTGAATCAGTCTCTCCACTTGTTGTTGAAGTTGTGGTATGTACTTAAAGCACACGTGAAACTGTGGACGGTATGCTTAATTTCTTCGGCAAAAAAGTAAAAGTTAGCATAGAAAGAGAGAGTGAAACATTTAAAAAGCAACAAGATTTAGGGTTAACTAAGAAACCTACCATTTGATCAGCAGCTAGAAGAAGAGCGAAAGGAGTGAAGAATACAAACTATTGATTTTCTTGCGACGATCACGTTCGCTAGCGTTGTGGTTAAGTTTCTTAGCCATGTTAACGTCACCACTTCCACTATAGGCTCTCAATGATGTGGAGCGATCAAGCGCTCTTATATCTGGCTGAGATGGAACGATGTCATGAGCAAATGACTCTGGAGTTTCGCTATCTCTAAAGATGTAGTTTTGTACATGGCTTATGGGTTCCTCTAAGGGCCATCCAAATGTAGAAAACAAAGTATTAGGAGATAATTCTAACATTTTGGATTAGATTTAGGGGTATTGAAACTTAGTTTGCTAAGCAAGTGAGATGATCAATGATCACTTTATATGTAAAAACTCACATCACTACCCTTCTAGATTTTCAGAAAAATAGACTACTGCTTACTAGCAATAACGTTCCCCTTTATTTATGAATAATTCTCGTAGACATATTTATAGACTAAATATATATTTTGATAATTTATTGATAAGGTAAATCAAATTATCTTGATTGGTTATTGCAGTGCATCCAAAGACGACTGGGATTAATTTTATCTATCTCATCCATTCAAAATTTTCATTTATACTAACTATTACCATTACTTTAATGAGAATTATTTCAATCCAAAAATTTGAGTTGAAGTTGTTTAGATCTAAAACTTATGCGAGCCACTATTAATTTTGTTTTGCTTAGTTAACTAAAAGAATGATTGTTGGTGGTAGAATTCAATCTCTTAACCATTATTAATTTAGTGGTATTATATTAAAATGTTATCTCAACTCAACTCTTAAATTATTGAATGAGTTCCTAATAATGATTTTTAGTCTGACACAAATAATTAGCACCAATCCCAATTGTGACAAATCACACCAAAATATTTTCTAGGAAACAAAAGGAGCATGATCAGATAAACTACATATGTACTCAAATTTTAAGCTGGCAGGGATTGGTGCAACTGATTCTCGAGTCTATATATATATATATAACCGGCCTTCTTTCTGATAATATTACAAATAAAATTTTGTGGTGGCTCATCACCTGAATGGCACAAATGACGAAGTAGCATCCTTTTTTTATCTCAAGATTTGAACAAGTTGATGGCGGGGCACTATATCCATACATATGCTATGATCATGTAACAATAAGTAACAAACCTAGATGGACAAACATATGTAAATTGATGATCTCACAAACCCTAGGGAACAAACATATAGAAAATGTTGAACTCATGAATGACATATCTTCCACTTCCTTAGGAAATTAATTACTCCAGTATATAATTAGTTAGCAGCAGCAGCTACAACAGTCAGTCAGGATCGATCTTACACACACACAATAAATATATATATATATATATATATATATATATATAAGTGATGTCTCTTTCGCCATTATTTATTTTTTTCTGCTTCTCAGGAGTTTGTGTTCCAAAGGTTGAAGTCGTGAGGTGATTGTGCAAACTGCATGGCCTGCGCGAGTCCTAAGAAACATTTGTTTCTCGAAACCATGAGCTTGCCCAATATATTATTCATGTACATGAGGTTGTAGCGTGAAGGCAGGCAGCCCTCTCATTTCCAACCCTAGGCTTATAAAGAATTCGAAAGGAATTTTTTCAATCAAGGACTCTTGCCTTCTGCTAAGTCAAAAGTTTCGAGAAATTTGCTATGGCATCTCTTTATTAATTTATTTTTTTTTCTTTTTTACTATTAAGTGATCATATAAGTAAAACTGCTAGCTCTTTTTTACTAGCTGCCCTCTCTTTTTTCCTGCTTGTACATTCCATGTTTAATTTTCCCAAAACTCAATTAAAGTGAGTTGTAGGAGGGGGAAAAAAAAGAAAAAAACTTGTCTCTCTAAAGAACTTGACAAATAGCTCCGTAACTTTGGAAGAAGAAATGCCTCGTCACAAAGGGGGTCGAAGTGACCAGGCCCGGACAATTGCTTACCAAAAACACATGTCTCCGTAAAGTCATAAGACCGGGTATGGGGGCTGGCGCCTTCCTAGTGCCGAAAGGTCAAGGAAGTTGGTGACTTGCAACCACCTTTAAAACGAGTGCATAATAGCTCACCGATCGAGTGCTTTTGCACCGAAGATGAATGGGGCTAAGCGATCCGTCGAAGCCGTGGGATGTAAAAAAGCATCGGTAGGGGAGCATTTCTCCTTAGAGGGAAGCATCCACGCAAGCAAGGGTGGATGAAGCAAACGTAAGAATGTTAGCTTGAGTTACACAAACATTGGTGAGAATCCAATGCCCCAAAAACCTAAGGGTTCCTCTCGCAAGGTTTGTCCATGGAGGTTGAGTCGGGGCCTAAGATCGGTTCTTTAATTTTGTAAGGATGAATAAATCGGCTTATATAAAGAAGACGCTATAAATATCCCCAAATAAGCTATACTGACTGAAAAAGTTGCATTTGTTACAAATTCATACCAATCTACAGACTCTTTTTGATGTAAAAGACTTAAAGATGGGATTAAGAGTTTGGATGATATATCCAAATTCATTTCTTCTTGATTGAATTGATTGAAAGGGATTCCTCTAGTTCCAATAAACAAGGTAAATAGTATCAAAACAAGCATAGGGAATAATAGAATATTATTCAATTCCTAGGGATAGGAAAAAATTCTTTTAGTACCAAAATGATTAATAGTAATAAAAGAACACGTCATCTTTTTTTACAAGTACCATCATAGCAAATAAAATTAAAACATTTATAGCTTCCACATAAATAAGGAGATGCACCGCAGCTACAAAATGAGATTTTAATAAAATATAGAATAAAGATATACAACCAAGAACCAATCCCAATGAAAAGGCAGAATAAATTGGATTGGTAAGTAATACCACTCCTAGACCTCCTAATATAAGACCTAATCCTAGAAAGACTAAAAGAAAATCATGTATTGGTCCAGGTACATTCATTGTACGTAAAATTAAAGGATAAAAAAATCAAATTCTTTTTTCATGATTTTATTGACTCGACCGAGAGTCTCAATTGACACAAGACTTGATACCAAATTCTAATAAGTATGGTTCTTAATTAGAAATTTATAATTGAAAAAAATAAATAGAAAATAATCTAGAAAAAATATTTAAAAAATAGATAATTATTCTGTCTATAAGATTTATAAAAGAAGATGAGATCATATGAAAAATATAATCGATTCTTTTGTTTTCTTAGGTCACCTGGTCATCTGCCGGGAGTTTTGGGTTTAATAGAGATATTTTAGCAACAAATCCAATAAATCTAATTGTAGTCCTTGGTGTATTGATTTTTTTTTTTTTTTTTGGAAAGGGAGTGTGTGTGAGTTGTTTATTTTAAGAATAACTCTGGATTGAATCAGCTGCACTTCTTTTTCGTTTAAACTAGGAAATTTAACTAGAAAAGAAAAGGTGCATCATCCTGTGAATTACTTTTGAATAAATTAAATCATCTTTAAGAACCATAGCATTTCATGATTCATTAGTAAATAGATTTTGATTCTCTATCAACTAATAATGTGAGACCATTAACATGTTAAAGCTAAACCATCTAAAGTCCAAACAGAGTAGGTTACTCTTTCTACTAATACATTAATACATACATAAAAGGATTCCGGATGAATAGTTAGAAATTGTTTTTGGTAAAGGACCTAAAATGCTCTTTCCAATGATATTCGAGGATATTAATCTAGAATTTTCGTATAATCATACAAGCAATGTATATATGCTATAGTTCAAAGTTGCAACAGATCAAACAAAATTGCACCTCTAGAGATAGGAGAAAAGAAAAATGCAAGACATAATCTTCCATGGCATAATAGACCATTATCTAAGGCAAGGTCACCTAAAAATAGATCATTATCTTTGGTAGGGTTGTCCAATAATAGACCATCATCTTAGCCAGGATCACCTAAAAATAGACCATCATTTTTTATAGGATCATCCAATAATAAACCATCTCTTATAAGGTCATCCAATAATATACCACTCGCATATTTACTTTTTTGAGATATGCCTCCCTTTAATTTGGCCACGTACTTGAATATTTAATTTTCAAGATAATTCACCTTCTAATTTGGTCATGTACTATATATTTAATTTTCGGGATAAGTTGTCCTTCAATTTAACCATGCACTCGCATATTTAATTATCAAAGGCAATCCGTTTTAATCAACATGGTCATATACTACATATTTAATTTTCGAGCAAGTCGCCCTTCAATTTAGCCACGTACTACATCTCGCATATTTAATTTTTCAAGGCATGCTTCCTTAATCAATATGATCATATACTCGCATATTTACTTTTTCAAGATATGATGTCATTATCAACTTGGTCATGTACTTCATATGTACTTTTTGAAGCGGATCGCCTTAATTAACTTGGCCATGTACTCGTAAATTTATTTTTTAAGACAAACTCGCCTTAATCAACTTAACTACGTACTGCATATTTAATTTTTTAAAGCATACCGCCTTAATCAACGTGGCCACACAATGCATATTTAATTTTTAAGGTAGGTCTGCCTTTGAATATAGTCATGTACTAATATTTAAATTTTTAGGGTAGGTCGTCTTTCATAATATGGCCATCCCATCATAGTTTTACTTTCAGTTTCAATCACTCGGAACAACCAGATCAATCTCTAATAAATAAATAATAAAAAAAAAAACCTTCTTTACAAACTTATTATACAAAGCCGTTGAAAAATATTTTTTTTTCATTTAACTTTGCGTCATAAGTAAAGTAAAGAGGGCACAGACTATCATAACCTAAATGTTGGGTTATATTTTATTTTTATTTAATTTTTTATTTTAATTAAAAAAATTATTTTATATTATTATCAAATTTTCATTTCAAAAAAAAGGAAAAAAAACAAAATAAAACAAATAAAAAAGGAAAACTACATAAACTAAAATTGCAAGCCAATAGGGACATAATTGCATTAAATTGAGTTAGAATTAGAAGCTAATAAGGGTTAAATTAAAAATAAATCAAGATAAAATTAGAAGCCTAATTGAAAGAAAATTAAGGATGCAATTGTAATTTAAAAAGTGTGGGACTCGTTCTTTAATTTTATGAATGAAATAGTCAATTGAACAATTCACTATTTCATTCAAATTTTTGCAAAAATTCGAAACCAAAAATGGCTTTTGATTTTAGGTTTGTTGATTTCTTGATTTGATTTCCTATCAATATATAATCCCTTTAATTGAACCACAATCCACACCACAATAATTGAAGAAATTTTGTAACGGAAAGAAAGAAAAACAGGGGAGGGAAATCGACAAATTAAAAAGGAAATTAATTAGTTTTAGGCTATAAATAGGATGCTTGAAAGTTCAGCAATGGGAGGATAGAGAATTCTAGGTTGAGAGAGTAAAAATTGAGAAAATAGTAGAATTTGAAGGATTTTTATTATTATTATTATTTCGGTGGCTAACTTTTCTAGGAAATTTCTAGGCGGGAGTTGTTCTTAATTTTTTTGGGTTTTCATTCTTCATTAATGGGGTAGTTCAATTTGTTTTTCTTTGCTTTTCAAGGTTTCGTGTTGAATTTCATGTTTTCCATCAACCCGATTCGTTAATTTCTTATGTTAATTTTTTTTTCCTTCAAAATTTTTTAGGTAGTAGTTTATTTGTTCTTCACGGTTCATCAATTTTTTAGGTTATTTTCTTTACTTTCGGGGTTTGCATTTTTTTTTTTTAATTCTCCATTACTATGTGTTGCCCATTGTTTCGGATCTCGGGAGCACGAAGAAGGATCCTTAATTATCAACCAACCTCTAATTTCATCATCATCCTTGCCAATTCCATTCCATTCTATTTTTGGATTGTATTTGGACTCTTGCAACATTGTCCTCATAATAGTCTCAACATAATTACTCGCATTTAAGCCTTCTATCATCATCACCAAATTGTTCATTATCTTTTTCATACACTAATTGCACTAGTCATTTCGATTCTTAACTTGTAAGATTTTCATAGTAACCAACCAAATGAATTGAAGTAGCAATTGGATGAAGTGGAAAAACACAAAAGCTTATGATTTTTTTAGTCGAAATTTATATTCAACAATAGTTAGTATTTCAATTGACAAGTGAATAAAATAGAGGAGATGAAGGATAGGAGAGAGAAGTAATAAGAACATAAGAGAGCGAGAGAGACGGAGAGAGTTAGGATTTGATAAAAGGTTGTTTGATCAAAAAATGAAATGAAAAAAGATAAGGTTTGTTTATGGAACTTTAAGTCTAGCCCATGGTTTAAAAAAAAAAAAAAGGAAAAGGAAAAGGAAAAGAGATGGACATGGTTTGGACTAAGCCACAACCAACACGCAATTTTAGTTTAGTTTTTGTTTTAGGCAAAACTCGATTTCAATCCAACTTCTACCATCGAAAAAATAAAAATATAGTAAAAAATAAAAAAATAATAAGAATCAGTATAAGAAACTAGAATTAGTCTAGTTAGACCAAAAAAAAAAAAAAAATAGATAGAAGAGAGTAAGGCATAGGCCAATGGGCCTAGCCTAATGGGTCTAAGGGCTAATAAGGTTTTTTTTAATGTTTTTATTTCAATTTTTTTACTTAATTCTAAATATTTTGGTTTCCCTTTGTATTTTTATTTTCCACATTAATTTAGATTTAATTTTCTTAGATGTTTTGGAATTTATTTAATTAACATTAAATTTTAGGATTTTATTTTAGTAATTAGGTTAGATAAATACTCGATAAAAGATATGTCGAGTCTCCTAATTTTTAGGGAGTGATGATAATTTTTTTATCAATAAATAATAGATAAAGAACACTATAAATAAAAATACAAAAAAAAACTAAAAAAATCCTCAAAAAATCTCCTATCTAATATGGACTGTCATTAACAAAAATAAGAAAACAAAAAAAAATTAATAATAAATTTCTTAACAAAATCTTCTATTTGATAGAACTCGTTGTTAGTTAAAAAACATATCATTAATGTTTAATAATCGGGATGTTCTTTGACACACTTGCTGTGTCGAGGCTTTAAGTGGATCCGATGTTTGAACCAACATTTCTCTCAACAAAGGGGTCCGATGATCATTTCAATACAATGTCACATCCAAAAATAAAAAAAAATATTAATTTGACTTAGAAATTGAAATTTAAATCCAAAATAACTTGGCACAAATAAAATATTTTAAGATATGAATTTACAATTAAACTAAGCATGGTACCTTTCTTAGGATAGGAACTTTTTTGGTGATCGATATCTTTCCAAAATGTAACCAATTTCTTACCTTAAAATCTCTCGTATCGGTGTTATTTTTAGGTCCTTAGCTCCATTAATATTAGGTAGTGAATCCAAACTCAATAATAACTCGCATCCCCAAAGTAACTCATAAATGCGATGCAAATCTCTAATACCTAGATTTTTTTCAAGAGTCCAATCCAACATTAAGTAGTGACAAAGAGATGAGAGAAATGAAGATTCTAGAGACTGGAGTAAAGAAGAGAGAGAAAGAGAGAGAGAGGGCATTGGATTTGATCCTAAGAGAATAGAGAGAAGAATGAGAAATGTATTAAGGAACTTAAGCCAAGCTCAAGAGAAAAGGGCTAGGCTTAGCTAAGCCCAACTTGCATGGCTAAGGGCAAGGCCTATCTCGGCCTGGTCCAAGCCGCCCCCCCCCCCCCCAAAAAAAAAAAAAAAAAAAAAAGGTATGGGTCGCTAGCCTCGATGGGTCGAGGCCCCGCTAACCCCAAAAAAAAAAAAGGTCGAATACTTTATTTTCATTTCCTTTTCAAATAAATTGACCCCGAATGTTTTTTATTTATGTATTTTTTATTTTCTCGCTTAATTTCTATTTAATGTTTTGGATTTTAGTGAATTTATTTAGTTAATGTTTAATTTTAGAATTTATTTCTATAATTAAGTTTTGTAATTAATAGATGGATGGATTATCGAGTTTCCTAATTTTTAGAGACTCATGATGATTTTTCATCACCAAAAAAAGAAAATGAATAAATAAAAAAACAAAAAATATATACTAGGAAAAATACAAAAGAAGAAGAAGAAGAAGAGAAAACATTATAAAATAAATAAAATAAAATGCTAAGAAAAATTAACAAAGTCTCCTATCTAATAGGGACTATTGTTAGCAAAAAAAAAAAAAAAATCACTTTAGCAAATAAAGCGTTCTCCGACATATCGGTTATATTGAGATATAAAGTGGATCCAATATTGAACCGACGTGTCTCCCAACGAAGGGATTCGATTATTGGTTCAATATAATGCCATAAAAAAAAATCTTAATTTGGCCTAGAAAATAAAAACTTGAAGTTTGAATTGAAAATATTTTGGCACAAGTAAAAAAATTTAGGAGATAAATTGTAAGACTAAGCTAAACATGATACCTTTCTTAGAAAATGATACTTTCGGGTGATCGATATCCTCCTAAAAACGTAACCAACTCCTTATCCTAGAATTTCTAAACTAGTGCTATTTTTTAGGTTCCTAATTCTTAAAATCATTTTAAAGGAAAAACAATATCCATAAGTAAAATAGTAATTAAGCAATTTTATTTTTTCCAATCTAATAGATAAATTAAACATAAGTTTCTATTGGTGTTGTTGTTGCTCTTATTGTGCTATTTTAAGCTTTTTTATCCACCTACCTGGTGATTCTTGTATCCCTCTTTCTTATTATTAACAAAATTTTATGATTCCGATAACCGAAAAAGAGAAAAAATAAACTTTTTATCATTTTGCATGTTGGACAAATAATAGGATGATGAAGGGGGAAATTGTTCATTTACTTGCTTCCTTACACAATATTAAATATTTTGGAGTTTTTGAATCATCCATGTGCAAAAAACTGATGATGAAGGGGAAAATAGTTCATTTACTTGCTTCCTTACACAATATTAAATATTTTGGATTTTTTGAATCATCCATGTGCAAAAAACTAATGATGAAGGGGGAAATAGTTCATTTACTTGCTTCCTTACACAATATTAAATATTTGGAAGTTTTTGAATTATGGATGTACAAAAAACTTCGAACTTTACTTTGTGAAAGGATTCATTTATAATAAACATTAATTGTCAAGACAAACTTTTCTATAGTGTTTTAAACATTTGTACATGCATGTAACTAGAAAATGCAGTTTGAATATAAATATATATAAACATTAATTGTCAAGACAAACTTTTCCATAGTGTTTTAAACATTTGTACATGCATTAACTAGTAAATGCAGTTATATATATATATGGAGCTCTTGAATTTTATGGAAACAATGAGTCTCTCTTCCCACACAAGGACACAAGCTTCTCATTCAAGCCCTCACTCTCTAATGTGTAAGTTCCTTCCATAACCTGTAGAACCCACAAAAATAAATAAAAATTGATTAGAATCTAAATCTTAGGAAAGATAAACAAATGGACATGTATAATAAAACATAAGCAAATTTTATAATACCTGAAGATGTAAATTATAGAAGACGCTGCCTCCAGAGGAGTCAAAAGAAGAACAATTTATTAGAACAAATCCGTCCTCCTCTAAATTAAGCAAGATTTCTGATAATGGACTTTTATGGAGTTTGTAAGTGGAAATTTGAATCACAACTTCTCTATCACTAAGCCGGCTTGTCGATACCGATAATAAAGAGCTATAGATGGTGTCGTTTCTTTGATTTTCTTGGTGAATTAAATCATCTTGCTTAGATAAATTTGATAAGAGCTCCTCTTTTCTTTGAATCAGTCTCTCCACTTGTTGTTGAAGTTGCGGTATGTACTTAAGCACACGTGAAACTGTGGACGGTATGCTTAATTTCTTCTGCCAAAAGTAAAAGTTAGCACAGAAAGAGAGAGTGAAACATTTAAAAAGCAACAAGATTTAGGGTTGCCTAAGAAACCTACCATTTGATCAGCAGCTGGAAGAAGAGAACGGAGTGAAGAATACAAACTATTGATTTTCTTGCGACGATCACGTTCGCTAGCGTTGTGGTTAAGCTTCTTAGCCATGTTAAGGTCACCACTTCCACTATAGGCTGTGAATGATGTGGAGCGATCAAGCTCTCTTATATCTGGCTGAGATGGAAGGATGTCATGAGCAAATGACTCTGGAGTTTCGCTATCTCTAAAGCTGTAGTTTTGTACATGGCTTATGGGTTCCTCTAAGGGCCATCCAAATGTAGAAAACAAAGTAGTAGGAGATAATTCTAACATTTTGGATTAGATTTAGGGCTATTGAAACTTAGTTTGCTAAGCAAGTGAGATGATCAATGATGACTTTATATGTAGAAACTCACATAACAAACCCACACATATATATAGACACCTTTATCATCATTAATTTCTTAATTGATAATTTATATTATAGCAAGAGGATTAAGAAAATGACATTTTACCTAGCTTCCTGCCTCAATGAGTCTTTTTAGATATGCCGTGCGTTACGCTAGCTTGTGTCCTAAGTCTATAGGAACCAATATGCAATCATTTGAAATTAATTATATGCTTCTACATATATAGGTTTCGCTTGAAAGTATGTGAAAAATATGAAATTAATCATGACACTTTTAAAATATTACACCGTATATGAAGAACTCGAAAAATTTCACTATGTAATTTCCAACGTAAAATTAATAGGATCACTACCCTTTTAGATTTTCGAAAAAAATGGACTACTGCTTACTAGCTATAACGTTCTCGTTAATGAAAAAAATCTCGTAGATTTATTTATAGAATGAAATTTATATTTTGATAATTTATTGGTAAGGTAGACCAACAAATTATCTCGATTTGTTATTGCAGTGCATCTAAAAACTGATTAATTTTATGTATTCCATCAATTCAAGATTTTTGAGAGAAGAATTATTAAATAATCATCTTAAACTAAAAATTTGAATTAAAGCTATTTAGACTTGAAGTTTGCACGAGTTAACCAGTAATTTTATTATTCGTTTAATTAAAAAAAAATGATGATATTAAAATATTATCTCGCCGTATATATCTTTTAGGAAACAAAAGGAGCTTGACCAGACAAACTACATTGTACTCAAATTTTACACTGGCACTTCAAGGTAGGGATTGGTGCAACTGATTCTCGAGTCTATATATACATACACACACGGCCGGCCTTCTTTCTGATAATATTACAAATAAAATTGGGTGGCTCATCACCTGAATGGCACAAATGACGAAGTAGCATCCCTTTTTTTATCTCAAGATTTGAACAGGTTGATGGCGGGGCACTATATCCTTACACATGCTATGATCATGTAACAATAATTAACAAACCTAAATGGACAAACTTATGTAAATTGATGATCTCACAAACCCAAGGGAACAAACATATAGAAAATGGTGAACTCATGAATGACATATCTTCCACTTCCTTGGGAAATTAATTACTCCAATATATATAATTAGTAAGCAGCTACAACAGTCAGTCAGGATCCACCTTATCCACATACACAATATATATATATATATATATATATATATATATATATATATATATAAGTGATGTCTCTTTTGCCATTATTTATTTGTTTAATATATATATATATAAGTGATGTCTCTTTTGCCATTATTTATTTGTTTTTTCTGCTTTTCAAGAGCTTGTGTTCCAAAGGTTGAAGTCGTGAGGTGATTGTGCAAACTGCATGGCCTGCGTGAGTCCTAAGAAACATTTGTTTCTCGAAACCACAAGCTTGCCCAATATATTATTCATGTACATGAGCTTGCAGCGTGGAGGCAGGCAGCCTTCTCATTTCCAAACCTACGCTTATAAAGAATTTGAAAGGAATTTTCCAATCAATGACACTTGCCTTTTGCTAGGTCAAAAGTTTCGAGAAATCTGCTATGGCATCGCTTTGTTACTTTTTATTTTTATTTTTTCCTTTTTGCTATTAAGCAATCATATAAGTAGAACTGCTAGCTCTTTTCTAGTAGTTGGCCTCTGTTTCTTCGTGCTTGTACATTCCATGTTTAATTTTCCCAAAACTCAATTAAAGTGAGTTGTAGGGAAAAAAAAAAAAAACTTTATGAGGACCTAAAATGCTCTTTCCAATGATATCCGAGGATATTAATCTAGAATTTTCGTATAACCACATAAGTAATGTATATATGCTACAGTTCAAAGTTGCAACTGTCAAACAAAATTGCACCTCCAGAGAGGAGAAAAGAAAATTGCAAGACATAATCTTCCATGGAATTTTTTGATCATTACAGAAGTGAAGAAACAAAAGTCAACAGCAAAATCTCAACTTGAGCATTCCCTAGAATAATTTCATTGCACAAACGTCGCAAGCTCATCTTGTAATTGCCCTCATTATTTGCCGGATCACCAATAAGCAGCTTTCAAAATCATTACAGATAAAGCTCAATGTGAGTTATCAACTATCAATGACATCTGAATACAAGACGTTCAGTGCCGGCCTCCTCTTCTACCCCTCCCCCTACTCCCTCCTCTTCTATTGCCTCTGAACCCTGATCTGGCTGACTTCAGCCCCAATGATTGTATTCCCCTCCTCTTATCACGACGTTCTTCTTTGTCATCCCCATCCTCTTTGTATGTAGCTGAGCTTCGTGTAGCGAAGGAAATTTCACGAGATCCTCCTGGTCCAAACTTTATGTTATTTCTGGCAGAGGTCTGCAGGTTATTTCCAAGAACTGCTGCTCTCTCTCCAAGAGGAAGAGAGTCCTCATCTGCAAGTGATACGCGGTTCCAGAAAGCCTCAGCATGCCTCGCATCCTTTACTTCATATAATCTACAGATTTTAGTAATCCAGACAATCAATACCAGAGAAGCAAGGCAACAGATCCGTCTCAAAATTCGGCGATTGAGCCCCAGCTCAATCCACACAGACACATGTACATGCACAAGTGTTCATGCAACCACAACACTAAAACAGCTATTCCCTCCAAATATCACAAACAGCATAACTACACATAACAGAGGCTATATTTACCTTGGTTTCTTTTTCACTTTTCTATTTTCATTGCTATGTTCATCTCCAGATGACTGAGATGCTGCCAAGGCATCAGAATCACTCAAATTCTGATCTTCATCCTCCATCAGAGGTTCAAAATGCTCCTCCACCAAAGAAGGTTGCTTCGTGGAAGCCATAGGATGTAAAGCCAAATACTCTGCTGAATGCTCATCAATTTCAAAGTCCTGAACAAAAAAAAAAAAAGGGGGAGAAGAAGAAGAAATGAGGATACACAAAGTTTGGCTAAGAGCCTCAAAGAACAAGAAACCAAAATAAAACAAGCGGTAAATAAACAGACTGCTGCTATGTAAAATATAACAGAAAAATAAATGAGTGATAATTATCAGCCTATGTTGGGGTGGCATTTCTTTGAAGAAAGAATAGAACTTTTTCCATAAATCAATTTCAAGCTGGTATTCAATGGCGTGTCCTTGAAGTAGATGGTTGAAAACACCAAATTCAAGCGGTATTTAATGATGTCCTTTTCATAGCTTCTTGAAGCTTTACTCAATAAATATTATCGACTTTTATGCTGAGTCGATCACCGTGAACACCAGGAAAAAAATAAAATAAAAGCACTGCAGTTGAAATCAACAATTAGAACTGTAAATTTGTAATAATACCTTATCTTCAAACAGTGCTTTAAATCTATCATCTTCCAAAATCTCATGGCCAAGTCCTTTCTTTTTCTTTGATGCTTTCTTGGTCTCATTTTTATCAGCATCATTCTGTTCATTTTCAGCTTCTTTTTCAATGATACTGGCTGCAAGTTTGCGATTAACCTTCGGCAATTTTTTCGGAATCTGCATGAACAACATATTGTGAGAATTTAATCAGGTAAAAATACATACAGCCCCATCGCATCCAATACTGAAGCCAAACCCCACAGAAATAGGGTAATAATAAACATACCAGGCTTTAAATCAGTAAATTCATTGTCACTGGTTAAAAATTTAGTTATCGATCACTCTGAAGTATAAATGTGGTGTGTGTGAGAGAGAGAGACACACACACATTCCAACATAAACTGTATAAGGAGAAACAGAAAATTCTATAAGCAAAATCACCCATCAACTCATTCGATCGTCGTCAGTCAAGGATCGACTGTGTCTAGCAGTATAGCCACTCTGTCATAAGCCAACATGCTAGACGGCATCATCATTAAAGGCAGTAGTGTCACAATATAGGAACCTCACAATATAGGAACCTACCCTTTACTCGATAGATAAGAATTATGAATAATACATTTAAGTCAATGATCAAAAAGGAAAAAAAAAATAGTACATTTAAGTCGAGAAACTATCTACCCTGGGTCAACAAGAGAATGCAGAGAACAAAGAAAGAGAAAAAAGATAAAAGATAAACCAGGTTCACCATGTCATAAGACTTAAATTTAACACATGCAATCCCATCTCAAAAGAAACCAGAAAAATCAAATTAGAAAATTTACTTGGACTAGGCCAAAAAACCATGAGCCAATTACCTTCTTCAAAGTTAAATTCTTAAGGTTAGGTGTTGGTGAAAGTCGACATAGACTAAAATATGTTCAATTCACAGATGTGTGCATTTCAGAAAAAGAGGCACAGAAGTGCCCTAGGCATGAAAATTGACCAAAAAACAATTGATGGGCACCAACAAAAATTAAATTTCCTAACTGAGTGACTAGATGTCAGAAGTGAATAATAGATAAAACTAACTGTTATCTAAGTTCTCACCGTAATCCGAGAGGCAAATTGTTCTTCCAATTTCTTTTGTTTGTGCTGCTCTCTGTAAGTTTCATATTCAAAAGGTTCCGTGTATTGTTTTGCCTGCATAAAAGCATGTGTGAATAAATGACAAAATCATGAATAGAAAAGTTAATAATGGTTACAGCTGCTCAATACTAAGTTTCAATCATAGCTCAACTAAGCACAGATGATAGTCAACTCAGAAAAGCCTTTAATTACAAAAGTTGACACCTCAAAAGATAGATGAACTGAGCCCATTGATCTCACAGACTATTAAAGTTCGAAGACAGCAGAGAAAAATATTACAGCATCACTTGATTTTGGATAAAACAAAGCATGAGAGAGAGAGAGAGACTTTCTGTAATTTGCCAAGTCGTCTGAAACTCATTATCTAATTCAGCACTCGACATATAAAGTTTGTCAATTGCTATTGCACGTATCTTTAAGTTTAACTAACAGTCAAGTTCCCTAAAACAGGGTTCCACATATAACACAAAAGGAGTATGTGTGAAATCATCCTCACCTTCTTATATAATTTATAATCAATAAAGAAACCATGCATGGAGGCTCTTAGAAGATCGGTGCCAATTAGTTTTGTTAAGTTCAATTTCTCAAGATCTTCTTTAGTCAAAAACTTGAAATTATCATATATGGTTGTTTGAGCTTCTTCCTCCATCTCTTCCTGAAGAAATAAAAAACAGCATCACCACTGTAACAGAAACATCCTAGTACCAAGATAAATCATTAAGTCAATGAACATTGAAAGCACACCGTTAGATTTTCAATACTAGGCAACCACTTTGGAGCAGGTCCCAAAGACGGTATGAAGTAAGATGGTATCTGGCTGCAGTCCAAAGCCAGGAACATCAAGCCACTGTTACTGAACACACATATATCATTTATGGTCCCAGCAGTAGGTTCAATGCTTGTCATGCCATCTCTCTGAACAGAAAGAAAATACATCAATAAAAGCCAAAAGATTATTAGGAAAACACTATCTCACTGTCAACTGGAGGAAGCATGAATTCAATATTGCGTAGGAAATATTTCCACTGAATTCCATAAGATATTCTCCCTTGATTAGGAAGATCTCAAGAATGCTAAGTGTGACTCCATACTTTTTTCTCTGCAGTGCATCCACTTCTCAGCAATAATGTAGTCCATGAAGATGGTTTCTATTATTTCTTGAGTGCATCAATTAAAAAATTTCAAAGGACTACTACCTCATTTGATCTCCAACTCACCACTATCTTTCATCACTATGGCCAGTAATCGTGCATATCACAAACTTAAGACACTTTGCAGCTTTTTCTCCTCATTCTTTTTAGGAGACAAGTTCAGATTGAGCATGCTCATAGCAGAACAAATTTTTTTCTTTTTTTCTTCAACAAGTGAGAAAGGAAAAAAAAATTTAAAAAAAAAAAAAACCTTGCAGAGACAAATGATGACAATCTTTATAGAACATCATCCAATAGGAAAAGAAAACCCTGATGGCCTAGCTATCAATTAAATTTAAGTCGAGCCCAGAGACAATCATGTATCTCATAGGGCAAATGAAAAAATATCTCACTATCAATAAGTTTCTTCAACTCGATTAATTAACAGTAAGAAAAAAAGAGGGTTAGGGCTTTACCGTCTCAGGGTCCCATATTCTAACGACATGTTTATCTGTGGTGATAAGCTTCTGTCTTTCAGAATTGAGAGTACGATGCCACTTGATGTCCAATATCGCGCTGCCATACCTGCATAATAATAACAGCGTTTAAGAGATGCAATAAGCCAAAGGAAAAAGAAAAGATAATAAATATGCAGAAACATAATAATCATCATATACAACAGGCTTACATATGATCCTTCACTCGCAAGGGATGTGAGGATCGCAAGTCATAGAGCAGCACCTGCATAATGAACAAGATTATGACTACTTCCTAAAATAGAGTGATATCAAATGACATTGAATCAGGACACTGAACTGTAAAAGTATGTATACGTGAAAGCATTTAGCAAGAAAGGAAATAGTGTTCATCAAAAGGAAACAGTGATTGCTGAAGAGTTTTTTTTTTTTTTTTAAGATCACATTTTCACTGTAAAATGAATTTATATTATTAGAAAGGAAAAAAAAAAGAATTACAACAAATATAAGGTATCCCCCATGTCAACATACAAGAAAAAGGGGAAGGCTTGATTGTCCCATTCCAATAGGTGACTCAATTTTGTGAAACATTAGAATTTTTTTTATCTGATGCATTTCTACGTTCTTACCCGTGGTAAAATGTTTACCTTTCAAATCATCAGAGTCCTGAAAAACAGGATCCAAGTCATTTCCTTCCACCTCAACAGAAGTGCCTACTTGTTAGGGTTTATCCCATCTCTTTCATTTTCAGTCATAATCAGTAATTTTGGGCAAGGGCTTTCAAGCACATCAGTCCACAAACCTTACTGCCCCACAAAACCCTCAAAATAAAAAAGAAGGCCTGAATCCTGCTTGGTATCCTGCTGAAGATGCATTAAGTTTACATCCTCCACCCATAAAGTGTTGCTTGGAAAACCCAGTTTTTAACAGTTATTAAACTGCCAACATGCATCAATTTCATTGTGTTTTTGAAAGTTAAACTTCTTTTCTACTTTGTAGATGACTAAATATCTTGTCCCATGAATATTGTCCAAAATTGCACTAACAAAGTCAGCTAAGGACACCAAAGGTAAGGCAAAACTTATAACTTCAACTATCAATAAATGATGACAAATGAGTGATGCTCAGAGTGGTGGAGGTAATTACCATGCTGCTTTATTGTACAAAACAAGGTAAAACACAAATATCATTTCATCAAGCACACATCACCTCGAGCAATGTAAAAGCAGATTGCAACAGACACAAGCACTAGTGATTATTCTTGCCCTAGTATATTTTTGCAATTATTGATGCTTGGTTTATCCCTATGAGCCTTCCATTAATACTATAAATGGTCTACAAATTCCAAATTCAAGATACAGCTCACCCAACAGAATCCTGCCACTGTATTTTTTGTCTTGATTGCCAAGCCCAAACCATCAATCCCATTGAAATAGAGTTTTAAAAAAAAAGAAATAGTATATATTATTTATATTCATTACGAGACCATCTAACCTTACCAATACACTCACCTTTCTTAATGTAATCTCAACAAATAAAATACAATACAATGTCTGAGATCTATGCAAAACAGCATTAGGTTGAAAATATGGATTCACCACAAAATTCGGATGAAATCTCATGATTTGGCATGAAGAACATCATACCTTTCCACCACTGCTTCCAACAGCCATGGTGAAACCCCCATCCTCATCAAACTTTAATGCAGTGACCTCCTACACAAATTGAGCCAACAGTAAGAGAGCATTTTCATGGAAAAATAAGGAAAGACGAAATATGTTGTCCATGCAAAATTTGCACAGAAATATACACTGTGATAAATGGAAGTAAGAATTACAAGATAGTTAAACTCAATTGCTATTCATCTCAAAGGTGAAAAGCATAAGAAAAATGAAATCCTACCACAAAATGTCCTAACATGTCCTTACTCCCTTCTCACCCCTAGGAAGGAGAGAGATCAAAGTATAAAACAAAACGAAGACCCACAACTGACTCAAAAAGCTCTTCCAAGCCACTACTGACTCAAAAATCCCTTCTAAGCCACTAAAGGTCAGGACCTGCTTTTGAACCAGGTATCTAGTCTCATCAAGGCATAAGCTGCACACTGGAGCCAGCATTTGGCCCTCAGATCTTTACAAATATGTATTCATAACAATTGCAAAAGAATCTTCTTTCCTTCTTAGCAATAAGAACCAAATTAATAGAAATCATTTCCACATACATGAATAAAGAGATGGAGCTACCTCGTTAATATCACCTCCATGCTCAACAGCATTAATTCGACCAACAGAAGATTTTGTTCTCATGTCAAAACATTCGACAGCACCATCATCACCACCACAAGCAACAAGTCCATGAAGCTTGCTGAAGTTGAAAGATAAAGCTACCTCAGTCTTGGTTGAGCAAAGGTTAACAGACAAAAAGATAAAGCATGGTACTTTTGCACACAATTTCAATAAGATTCACCACCAACCTCCGACAAACAACATTTAGACCTGGTGATTGTGTTCTGAGGGGGAGAGAAATTGTCCCTGCAAATAAGAGAAGTCAATAATTTCAGAACCAATAAACATGAAGAACATGCTATGTAATAAATTGTTGACAAGATGCTTCGTACAGGTGCAACCACAGAGAGAGAGAGAGAGAAGTACAGGTGGTTGATAAAATTCCAGAACTAAACTAGGTAAGAAAAACATGAGGATATGCAATCTAGAATGAATTCAAGGAAAGATTAAACTGGCACAGCCTCTCACCAGCACCCCCACCCCCTCTTGCCATGCATAAACAAATACATCCACAAGCAAACTAAAAAGAAAAAGGTGGATCAATGCACCTAATCCCAACTAGTTCAGAATTGAAACTTTTTTTTAATTGACATATGTGTACATAAATAAGATGCTCTAAAAACATACCAAGTTCTCAGTTTCCACATGTTTTTTACAAAAAAAAAAAGGTTCACGTCCATAAACAGAATAGAATATAATGGATTCCAATGAATAATAGAAGCTTAAAGTGACAACCACTAAAAAAAGTGGCAATTTTCATTTAATATTAGAAGATGCAAAACCATTACAAGAAAGCAATTTCAATTATATACCTTTTCTAAATTAATCCGATATAAATCTGACGATGAGGCAGCACAGAGCAAGTCACAAGACCAGCAATCATATGCCATATCCCTTCCCATTCTGTAAAACACAGACGTATAAGTGTACATGTAACTCGCAATGCATAGATCCAATGAGAAATTGTATAATGCAGCCAAGTGAATGTATAGTATATTCGAAGCACAATAGCAACTCAACCCATTGGATACTGAGAATATAAACAACAAAAAGGAAGAGGAGTCTAGCCAAGATAGTTTGCTATATTCAATCCAAGAGATGCACAATCAGAGAATCTTGGCCCAAGTATTACATAATCAATCCTTTGAACAGAGATGCATAATCAGGGATCTTGTATATCATTTCTTGACTGAATTCTTCTCAATTAAAAGCAATAAAGCACTCCTCCAGCATGAACTCAACCAATACACAGTTCAAATCAATCCAAAAAGTTTGGGAGTAGTTAAACATTTCATTCAACCCTATCATAGTTGGATATTCACCGGTCTTTTCCTCTATGATTAGGCACTCATGTACACGCCATGAATAACTTATTCACTAAAACATTGGGAATTAACCAAGAGTCACATGGCCTTTGATCTAGTCTCAGTAGCATTTCAAGTTAATGCATTCTTGCATCAAAATGAGCTTTCCAAGTTCTCAACAGGCGCTTCAATGCATCTCATATTCTTCGAGATTATTTCATCACCAGGCAATGTATAAAAATGTTTGTTACTTTTAATTGATTGTGAATCACCTAAAATCAGACTCCAACTTTTGGCGGGGCTTAGAAAATTCTTTCCTCTTTCAGTTTCATATCAAACAAAAATCATAATTACGCTGTCAGCAACACCGATAAGTTTCATAACATTAACATGTCAAGGAAATGGTTAGCTGTAGTGTAGCAATACACAATAAAAGCAACAACACAACAAAAAAATCACAAAATGAAACATAAGCACAAATACTCATAAAGCACCGATATAAACCTTGGGATTCGCAAAGTGTAGTGTTTCCCATATTTTGCATGTAGGCAAACAGAACGATCAGCACATAAAAATGCAAGCTTTGAATAGTCATCATCCAATATCTACACAAAAAAACAACAAATCATTGCCTCACTAATGCATCAACAATCATGATAAAACTATACCCCTCTCCCCCATCCCGCCTCCTCTTAAATCTTGCAAGACAGCCACAAAGTGAAGATGATGACCACTGCCAATGCTACCAAAAACAAAACACAAACAAAATAGTTTCATAGAAACAGTATAATGAAACTTCAGAAAAACCTGAAAATCAATTATCTCAGAAGTAAAGTGTCTTTCAAACTTCAATGCAAACTCTCTTAACTCATACACTTTGATCTGCGGTGGGTATATTCCTGCATTTTAGTTAAATGAATTAGCAAATCATATTGCAGATACAGTCAATACCCTTCAAAAAATTCTCATACAAAATAAAATTAAAAAATCATTTACCCGATGCAATAAGAAATTCTCCATCTGGGGTCACTTTAACTCTACTCGTAGCAGTTGGGAACGTTAAATCTTGAAGCAACTCTATCTTTTGCTGATAATCTTAATATCAAAACAAAAAACACTTGTCATTAATAATGTGCCAATATCTTTAGAAAAAATCTCACTACCGCGGTTTTTTCATTTCTCAAAAAAATTAAAAAAAAAAAAAAAGTCATCGATTTCGAATCCAAAACTGCATACTGGTAAACTAAATTAAAAAAAAAAAAAAAAAAATACTCTGCTGCATAAATTCTTAATCTTCACTGTAATTCAATATTAGAACTTAGGGTTTAAGCTAGGGTTTAACGGATAGGATACAAAAAATAGACTTGAAAGCTAATAAATAACTCTAACAAATAACCAAAAAAAAAAAACAATGCAAAGGAAAAAAAATACTTTTATCTTTGTGAGGAGGGCGTTGCTTTTTGAAGCCAACCCAAGAAGCGGGATTGCGTTGCTGTGAAGAAACCATATACATCTTCACCCCATTTATGGACGTCGATTTCAAGCCGCTTCCTTTCGTCGCCATTTTTGCTCTCTTTTTAACTTTTGCTTTCGGGTTTTCTTTCTCTAGCTAAACCCAGTACTAGAAAATCAAACAGTTTTTGCTTGATTATGCTTTTTTTCTTCTTTGGCTTTTGTTATAAGCAACTTTTCGCCGCGACGGCAGCAGCAGCTACCACTGCTTTCTAAAACGGAGATGGAGGTTGCTGCTGCTGTTTTGCAGGCCTTTTAGGCTCTGGAGCTAGTGACGGTCGGTTTTTTATAATATTGGGGTGTTTGGTTTTATTGACAACTATATTCTAGTTTAGGTTACAGGTTTTTTTTTATTTTCCGGTTTTTGCTCTGGGTAAGCTACAAGATTGCAAATTTTTTATAATTACCCCCTCGAGGTTTCGATTTTATCTTCATTTTTATGATTTTATCTTATATCATTCTTCATTAATATTATAAAAAATTAGTTGAGAAGCAACATTACCGTCACCCGTATTCATTTACAATTATAATATATAAAAATAAGTATATAGATAAGTTGATTCTCAAATACGAATTTAATATTTATAAGTAAATAAAAAGAAAAATAAAGAACCATTATTTTGTTAAGTACTATCACATATAATAGCATTACTCCAAAACCTAATATTATATTTTTTTATAAAAAATTATATTATAAATTGAATTGAAATGAAATGAAAAAAAAATTATACTACAAATTGAATTGAAATCATAAAAAAAGGACTTATTGTACCGTAAAATAACGAACAATACACCTTTTAAAATTTATGACACATTCTTTTAAAAATATATAGAAAATACATTAACTATGCTTCGAATAACAATTTTAGCACAAGAGTCATTTTCTTTTCAAGATTTCGAGTTCATTTGACGTGGTAAGACATGTTAGATGATACCTTGAATGAAAATCTACATAGAATGACACATGGATTGAATTATAATTCGAGTTATGATGAATGACATGTCGTCTCGCTCACTTATTCAAAATCAATTTTTAAAATTAACTAACCTAATTCAATTCAATTTTTAAAAAATCAAATCCATAATTTCTTCTCTTCTCTTCTCTACCTAATCAATGAACAAATCAACCCAAATCCATAATCTTCTTCTTTTCTTTGCCCAACAAACAAGAACTCCAATCTTCTTCTCTTTTTTATGCACAATAAATAAGAATCTCAATCTTCTTCTCTTCTTGGCCTAATGAACAAGAAATTCAATTTTCTTCTTTTCTTTATGAATGAGGAATAGAAACCAAAACCCGCATACCTCAAGAAAACCCATGAATATTCACGTAAATCCACTAGTCATGAACTAAACCATTTTCCTTCATCAAATCTACCAATCTATTTGATTCCATCAAACCTAAAATTTACAATGCAACATCGGTCCTCCACTCCTCATAATACCCACAAATCTTCAACAAGTACTAATTCTCCCATGAATCTTTAACTATAAGCTTCCTTCTTTCTCTATCTATACGTGTTTTCATTTCATTTTTCGTGGGTTTTCTTATTTATGTCTCGTTTCGATAATTCCGGATTTTAGTGCCTTCTTTGCTCGTGTAAATTCTTCAACTCGCATTATGATGGATCTACTCGTATTGTGATGGATTAACTACATTGTGCTAGATCAAAAGCCAAACTCGCATTATGCACACCTATATTTGCATAACTTTCGGAAAATCCATAAATATGGCATATACAAGTAGTAGCTTTAATATGGTAGAAGCTTTAAAAATATATTTCTCAACTTTCAAGATGTCTTTATGCAAGCACAAGATAAAGACGAGCCTATATATTTCACGAACCGAAACTAACCTAAGGAAGAAGTTTGCTTGCTACCCATATTGGAAGGTATTTATTGTTCTTAGTTACCGAAATTACTAAAATTTCTCCCTTGTTACAAGAAATATACTATATATTTGATATTTTGTTTTCATGAAATATTACAACTTTCAAGTTGACGAGTTGTGGATTTTGGAAGTGGATTGAAGATGATCTCATTATGTGTGGAGCTGAGAAGTCAATTGTAATTGAGATTGCAGAGTTTAAGAGAAGAAAAGAGTTAGTTGAGACATTTGAAAAAGAAAATTCAAGTTTGATGGGAATTGAAGCAAAAAAGAGAAAGCAAACTAAAATTCATTTTATTGGAGAACTTGACAAAATGAGATATGAAATTATTGAAACGAAAATTTAAATGAAAAGATTGAGAATAGACATACAAGAGTTAGGAGGAAAAGTCAAAGTTGTTACCAAGTGGTAACATTGATAGGTTTTGCATTATTAGAATATTTGTTGCCTTCATATGAGCGAGGAGGGCATGTGAGCACTACCTCTCTAAATTATACAATGTCTTATTTAATGTATTAAATCAAGCTATTATAAAGTATTACATTAAATTATGTAATGTATTACATTTTCTTTGTAGCTATAGTCTCACTTTTTTTTGTTAAAAGGCTCTTAAAAGAGAACCTATGTAGCTATGGTCTCATTATATCAATTCTTTTCACTCTTTGTAACATAAGATAAAAGAAATATTATGAAATTGTATATTAGCTAATCTATTCAAGATCATAGATACATAAAGCTAAGCCTAAAAGAACTAGAATGTTAAGGTCATCAATGGAACCTGACATTACAAAACACGAGATGAAAGTTATTTACATGGTTTAGTCTTTTTATATGCTTATAGCTATAAAGCAAATATTAAATAGATAGAAGCTATTTACAATACGTCATCTAAAATATATAAATCTACCATACATGTCTGCAGTCTAGAATATTCTAATCTAACAAAACACAACCGTAGTTCTACCGTTAAAAAGAAAAGAATACACAACCCACTATACATTGTTTTATCACAAAATGCACATCATATTCCATAGTCACAATATTCTAAAAAATAGACCATACAACGAGCTATTAAATGCAATAGGTGGGCTAAAAAAGGTCATTTAATTAAATAGTTCAAAATATTCCTAGGTGGTTGAAGAGCCTTCGTAGTTCAACTTAGGCTTATTTGCCATTGTAATTGGCATGGTCGTTGGTAGAGGAATTTACTTGCCTTTAGAAATTGTTTCAACTCTACCTCCAATAATCGGTTGCAACATCAACGAAAGAGGAGGTAAATTGAAACTATGTTTTTATTATACAAATTTGTTGAAAAAAAAACACATAACACTTGTCTTTGAATATATGTTACTAGTTTTGTCACTTATGTACACTCTAACTCCTTTGACTATTTTTTTCTCTCAATATTCTTTAACCTTTACAATTGCATCTTACCTTTGCACATGTGCTTTGTTAAATCCGATCGAGATTATAGATCTTGAAGAGAAGGGAGGTCCGGATGGGATTGCGGATCCGAAATTCTAAGAAGGTCTAGATAGGATAATAAATCTGGATGTGGATGCTTATCTAGAATTAGAAGTAGATGAAATTATAGTAGTTTGCTTTAGAGGTTTTCCTCTTTTAGCCTATAACAATAATGATTTTCAATTACATATTGTGAGGAATTAAATTAGAAATAGAATTATTAATATCAAATTATACTTACTAGTAATTTTGCTTGTTTAGAAGCTAGACTATTTATTGAACTCTTTACAAGTCTTCCTTTTTTACTCTAAACATGCCACATGTATAATAAGTCAAATAAACCAATAGTATATTGCTATCATATGAAGTTTGTTTATTTACATGATTTTTAGTAGGGGTTACATTATCTTGGCCGATAATTTTGCATGTTCTCTTGTTATGACCATAAGGATAACAATTTTGGCATTGCATTTGAACTATTACCTTGGATGTTTTGCTTAGATTTCTAATTTCTTCACCTTGAGCTTTTCTTTTGGTTTTTCTTTGACCTTTCATTTTAAAAATCATGTACCATAATTATTTATTTGTTAAAAGTAAAATAAAAAAGATGGGAAAAAATAACAACAACAACAACAAGCTAACTTTGCCAAATAAACCGACCTTGGAATTTTCTTATAAGAAAGGAATTATACATCACGACTTTCACTCCTAGGCCATATTTTGAAGCCATTCAAAGGTTTAAGACCATTCAAATATGTTTCCACATGTCTTTACTTCTTGAAACAAAAGTCATCATAATATGTAGGGTCACCCCTCATGAAGATAATACATGCTATTACGTGTTTGCATGGAATACTACTAACATCTCATTCCCTGCAATTGTATGTATGTTCCTTCGAAGTCACTATGTATGTATCCTTACCAAATCTAGCTTAAAATCTATCACCAAATACAAGTATTATCCTAGATGCACACGCTTCTAGTTTAATTTTTTCTAGCTTTCTTCTTATTCTTAGCGCATTTCATCTTTGACTAACTCAAACATCTTACTCTTAATGTACATCCTCTTCATCACATTGGCCCTAATATCTTTTAACTTATCAATTAATGGCTTTGTTCTAGCCTTGCATATAGTTTCATTAAATGCTTCGACATATTATTTGTGGATGCGGGATAGCCCATTTCTTAACCTATAGACTTTAGGCAAGTGCACCTATCATTCTACAAGTATAATTGACAGAGTATCGAGTGTCGATCCCACAGAGACTAAGATTACTAGTAATTACCTCCTATGTATTATCTAACCGATGAATTATAGTGATAATGAATCAAATAAAAGCACCGATAATTAAAGTAAGATTACAAGATTGCAATGAGAGTGACAATAATAACCGGATGAGCAATCAATGGTGAAGGTAGTACCCAAATAGCGAATCCTCCGTAGATCTTCTATGTAATCACAATGTCTTTTATTCAATCATTCTTTATATTCATTGGACCGTAGGAATTCCCGAATTATGCTAAGTACTTTCTCAAGTTAACTAACACCTAATCTCAAGTTGATTAATTGAAATCTCTTTCTAATTAACACCCCCAAGATCGCATTAATCCATTCTGTGGATCCCTTTATTAGATTTGACTCTAATCCGGAGGATTTATGTCGTCCTATCTCCAGGATTGCATGCAACTCGCTTTCAAT